GTTTTGCTCATCCTTAATTATTTTAATAGATCCATAATTTAATTTTTTTAATAGAAAACAATAATATAATAGACAGACAATATCATTTTATGTGAATGTGTTACAGATATTTTTGCCACTAATTAATCAAAATTTTTACGATATAAAAATTTTTGTGAGTGGTTATGCTCACTTTCGTTCACCAATTTTAATAGATTTATAATTTAACAAATTTTAAAAACTTCATAATTAGCATTGCCTTCAGTAGTTCGAATTATTCAAAATACATTTAAAATTATAATAAATGTAAAGCAGTTCTAAATTCACTTTATCACAATCGATATATTATGATTCTGGAAATTATTATTTTTATAGTTTATTGTTTCAGCTTTAAATAAACTTTTAAAAAATATAGTGAAATTTTTGTAATTTGTTTCTGATTTAGCTAATATTTGAAAACAAACGTTGTTTTAAATTCAAAACTCTAATTTTACAATGAATGATTCAATTACAGGTATACTAAAAATGAGCTTTGTTATGTTGAATTTGTAGTTTGAAAACAATTGTACAATTAATAAAGCATAGTTTTATTTAAATTTTGATGAAATATTTCAGATTTTTTATATAATATTTGACTTTATTTTACATCTAACACCTCGATAACGGTTATACATAATTGAAATCGTTTTAATAATTTTTTCTTTAAAATTTTCTGCCAAAATGTTATTTAATTTTTTTTTATTTATTTACATATTATTTTTATATCTCAGTCAGACATTGGTATCTGGTATGAGAGATTATGAAACAATTTTCTTATTTTATATATACATATCATTTGTCTATTTCATTATACTGCAATATAATATTTATTATAATTAAAATATCTATTCAATCTTCAATTTCCTTATAATATTTCTTTATTTTTCTTTTAAATTTGTCGTCATCATTGGTCATCTTAATATCGTTTGGCAATTTATTATATATTTATATAATTATATTTTTATCCTAAATAAAATATTTTGAGTAAGTGATTTTTTCATCCTTCTTATTTCATGACTATTGTGTAGTTATTTTTAACTCATTTTATAAAGAACTATCATATATATATATATATATATATATATATATATATATATATATATTTTAAATAATCTGACTTGGTTAGCAAAATATATTAGATATTTTATGCTATAGTTGATAAAACTGTACATGTAGTCATTGAATACAATTTTTATATTCTTTTATTTATAATGTAGGTCGTTACATTTCAGAGTTATAAAAAAAGTTTTGATTTATGTTTCGGCACCTAAATTTTAGATTTCATATGTAAAATGAATGGGGTAACATTTAAGAACGTAATATTTACAATTTTCAATGTTAAAATAAGATTACTAAAAATTGAAGATATTTTAAAAATCTTTACTTTATTTATTTTTACTTGATACGCCTTTCAAGAAATTAATCATAAATTTCAACATCAAATTTAAACACTTTCAACATATAAATATATGTATGTATATCTGTTGTTAATACATTCAAAGACTATGCATCAGATTACCGTGAAATTTTTGAAAATTGTTAAGTATATTCCCGAACAAGTTTTCGCATGCTTTTTATTGAACATAAGTATTAAGCTACTAGGCCACCATTTTTTTTCGTTCCTTTTTTAAATGTGCAATTAAAAATATATAGTCCCTGCATTTTCATCTTTTTATTACAAATCCATTGTAATATTTGGACATCACAAAATATTTATAATATTTTTATCTTTAATATATTTTTAAATTAATTTTTATGCTCAATTTCTTAATACTTTTTATAATAACTTATTTTGTACACATATTTTGTTTACAACAATGTTTGCCACTAAAGTGTATGTATTAAATTGAGTAAAATAGTATTGTTAGGTTTTCATAAGCCTCTAATAGTTTTAACTGTAATATATATAAGCATGCATCTTTTTCTACCGATGACTTCGAATTCCCGTAGATTTTTTAATTGAATCAGTTTTTAAAAGACTAATTTTAGTAAGTATATAATATTGATACATGCTGTGATCTTTAGTTAAAATTGATTTTTAATGTCTTGCAGAATATAACTTTTTTATCAGGAGAATCTCATAGGAAAATTAATTTAAATTTATTAAGTGTCATTTTTTAGCATTCCATATGCAATGTTTGTTTAATTGTATATTGCATTTTCTTGGTCAATTCGATTTATAACAAAGATGATAAGTCTTAAATAAGTATTTTACCATATTGTATTCTGAAATAAATTTTCTATATTTTTTATTATGACGTGACAGAAATTTTACCTTAGCATAACTTTGCCGAATAATTTTAATTTTTATATTAATATTTTCTCAATATTTTGTTTCACTGAACATATTTTGTTGTCAACAGATTCGTTCGTGTGTTCTTAATTCTATTGTAAAATATTGAAAAGAATATTGTACAATTATAAAAAGTTATGATATAATTGCTATTAATTTGAACATTGTTTTTAATAAATATTTATTTAGATAATAATTTAATTTAGCAATTATTTTCTGAATTGAAATAAATCTTTGTATGCAAACTTTGATTTTTTCTATTTCTTTTAATTTTATATTTACAATACTGTGAAATACTATATTTTTTAATTACATATTTTTTGAAGATACTCTTTAAAATATGCAATTCTGTAATTAATTTTTTTTTTATTTTGTTTGTATTTGTCGAACTATTTTGGGAGCTTATGTCAATAAATAAATTTTAATTTATGCTACAAAATATGCTACAAAATATTCTAAAAATGTCATAAAAGTCTTTATTTATTTACAGATAATCGACTCTACGCTTGTTTTCGTGTTTCATATATTTTATTATATTCATCTGGCAAGTTAATTTGTTTTGAAATTGTTCGTTTCTATGAAAAATATGTGCATTTTTTATTATTCTGCCAAATTCTTTTGTGAAAATGTTCAAGTAAAGTCAAGTAAAAAGCGAGGAGAAATGCAGTAAGCTTTTCCTTGTCAAAAGATTTTTCTTTCCGCATATTTTCTACAGTTCAAACTGCTTTCTTTAATTTTTAAGAATTGATTTTGCAATTTATATAATTCAAGTTTATATTTTTTTTTATTAAATTAGAACTGATAATAGTAACCACATTTTCACTTGCATATTTGAGTTAGAAAAATAGTTCGATATTTTTACTGACATTTGCATTATGACATATTCCCATTTTGTTACTAATATTGAAGTTTTTTTTTAATTTCAATATCTGTACCAACTGTATAAATTACTAATCTTGAAGTGTTTTTTTTTTAATTTCAATATCTGTACAATTATGAATTGAAAATTAAATTGAATTCGACTATTTTTGATAATTGCTAAATAATATTTCAAAATTATTTTGCGACTAGATAGACAATGTTGTAAAATATTTAAATTAATTATTGATATATATTATAAAATAAGATTACTTCTTATATATATATATATATATATATATATAGATATATAACTCATATATTTATAACTAATTATCTTCTGACCTTAAGATATATTTTATAATTGTATTAAGATATCAGATATCTTAATAAAAATAATTTGGTCTTTTGTATGTACTTTTTCAGTTGATGTGGTAATAAAAGGGCACTATAAATATTTTGCTTCAAAGGTTAAAATTAATTAAATTAAAAATTAAAATTGATTTAATTAACAATGTTCAATTTTCCTCAATTATTAAAGTGCCCACAAGTTTGGGACAAACCTGAATTACAAAGAAATTTATAGGTTATTCAATTTATTTAATTTTCTGCATTCTATTTAAAAATACTTAATGTGTAACTCTTTTGAACATTTAAGTTTAATATTTTTTGTATAGTTATTTATAGATATCTACTTATATAATCGTAATTGTGAAAAAATATATCTCAATATATATTCTATTATATTATAAATTAAAATCAATTATTTCTTTGTAGGTATTACAAAACTCAAAAATTTTCTCCATCAAATACAAAAGTTCCTGATATGCGTTTGCTTTGATTTTTTCGGCAATTTCATAATCTTCCAATAATATCGCTCATTAGAACTATAAAACTTGCAAGTCAAAAATTAGTTTAAAATTCTGAAATACTTCAATTATGAACCTATTGCAAATGAAATATTTTCATGTATTTGTTGAGAATAGTTAATATTTAATTTGCATGGTATAAGCTATGTTATAATTTAATTTTTATGTTAAAATCGGCTTCTAATTAGTGCTCTAATATTTACATTTATTCATAAGTAATTACTGAATTTTGTTTTATCAGTATTCAATATTGAGTTCATTTTCAATCTTTTTACTATTCACACATATTTGTTAATATGAACATTAACTTATTTTTGCTTTATGATGCTGTGGAACTAAAGTATTTTTCAAAAGTAAATAATGTTTGGTCAGTAATTAATTTCATATTCTTCGGTTTTCATAAGCCTCTAATATATTTCACTTCAACATAGATGCAAGTAAATTTTTCTTCAATTATTTGATCAATGTTCAATTGAGATTTAGTCAATAAGAATTTTAGACTATAAATGCAAAATTGTTTTATGATTTCCTAATTAAAACGGTTTCTCTGTTTTTTTAATGAATTTACAGTATGAAAAATTGTTTTCTTTATATCTTAGATCACACTTAGATCTTTATAATTTGCAAACTATATTTTGTTAAATTTAGTATTAGAAAGATGGTTGAAATCGTACAGTTTCAAAATATGGAGGTTGAGTAGAAGATTACTGTACTAGGATGATATTTCCCAATAATAATTTAGAAGTTTTTCTGTGTCAAGTATGTATATTTTTAACTAAGTTTATGAAATCTGTGTAAACACTAGATATGGAATGCACTTTAAAGTTTTTTATTATATTATCTCTTTAGTATATTTTACATTTTCAGTAAGGGCTGTATTTTTTAATATAGGTTAAAAATTTTGAATGAATAAAGTAATTACCTAAGTATGCATTAAATTCATAATAACAGTATCATTTTTGAACACAGTCGTATTTCTTTAGATCTAAAAGAAGAATCGGTCAGATTTATAAGAAGCATTCTCATTTGATGAAGAGATGAGGGAAACTCGGTAATGTTTTGAAACATTGTTAACTTTTTTAGGTATTATTGTAAGAAATTACCTTATGAAAACTATGTTATATTAGTGGTTTTTTAGGATTTGGCAGTTACCTGCCATTCAGACTACAAATATTACGAAAATGTAGTAATTAATCAATACTATTTTAATTTGAATGGAAATGCACTAATATGTATACTCTCTTTTTCAGTACAATTTAATATAAAAACACTCAATATTAATTGTTTTTTTAACTTATTACCAACAATTATTGGTATTTAATATTGATCTTATAAATATCATAGTTTTCTATTATTAGCAGTGACGTTTTTCTAGTATAAAAATAACACTTTTTCAACAAAAAATTATTTTCATTCAATCATATAGTTTCCAGTTTTTCTCAGCTGTATTCGGGTTACACAATTTTCTATATAAATATCTGATATTTAACAGCAAAAAAATAATAAGGAGCGCGAGTGAAGGTGACCGTCATTTATAACAGTTTTGCTATTCAAAAAATTTTATAAATTTTGAAATAATTATTAATCAAATGGTGCCCGATCAGGGAGATAAGGCGCCATCGAAAAAATTTGCAAAGCCCTATGGTCATGCAGTATTTTCGATTTACTTCATAACATTTATAGCAACTTTTTTCTCGTTATTCTTTGCTGGATGGCATTTTAACCACTTTTGGTTTGAAGCTTCTACATGAAAGGAAAGAGAAGCCGCGAAATTAAGAAAAAGGGCGGTAATTCAATTCAGTATGGTAATGATTGTTCTTCCACCGTTTGATGTATCATCCATCAAGTCAGTCAAGACGTGAAAAACAATCACCATTATAAAGTGCCCAGATAATCTCATGGTGACATCAATAACAGAAACCAAAAAAATACAAAATATGATTAGTAGAATCTCCAAAGTGAGTAGACGATACGAAATGAAGATCAACAACGAGGCCCTGAGAGATGACGGTAGAAAATCGAAACTTATAAGATGTTGAATCATTTCAAGTACTTATCAAAGATGAATACTGCACGAGAAGATCAGGTCAAGAATCTTATGCCCCAAACTGAGTCACTGAAGAGGCTTATGAAGTTATCTCTGGAGCATAGCTCTGTATGAATGAGAGACATGGATTCTAAGAAAGGCCGATAGAAACTATCTGGTGAGTTTTGAAATGTGGTCCCAGAGGTCATAAACAAAGAAGTGTTGAGAAGAGAGGGCGAAGAAAGTAATCTACTAAGCAGGATCATGAAAAGTAGAAGAAACTGCATCAGGTTTATATTCCAAAAACTGTTCTTGCTGCACAACCTTGTAGAAGGTGAGAAAAAGGGACTAACTAGAAAGATTGGGAAAAAGAATGCAGATTATTGGTGACTTACGTGGGAAGCTCAAAGCCAAAGCACAGGACTAGAAAGTATAAAACCAGAAGTATAAAAAGAAAAATACATAGGTGTATTGAAATGTGAAGAATAGTAATAAAATAGTGATGGTAATAATAAATGAGCCAGGGAATGGGAATCATTGTTTGTGGTGCTCTCACATCATGGACCTGCATTCGGGCCCACTATCGTTTAAAGTATATGTAATGATTAGTTGATATCAAGTGAACAGTCATAAATTCACAAACCAAAATAAGATTTTATTAGAAACTCACCACATGTACGTCGCTCAGGAGGTCAATCAGCTGCGGTAAGGAGTCCTTGTCGACCCGCATGTCGCCGAAGTAAAATTCGCGCATTTTTCGCGCAACCGCAACTGACCTCGGAGACTTCTCGTGCAGACGAAGACCCACGGGCACAAGTTTCTCGAAATCACGATCGACGTCCTATAATATAAAAATTATTTTATATTTCGTTTTGGTTTTTGAAAGTAATACTACATTATGTTGTATACTATTTCCTTCCTACGTTTAATTTATAATTAATGATGTTAAGTAGAAGCATTTATTGCGTGCAAGATAAATTTTTGCTTAATTTTTTCTTATACCTATTTATATTACGAAATGTACGTTTAATAGCAAAACTATGGAATAACCAATACATTTATATCAAATAATAAAATATTTTAAAATGAATAGTTCTTTTACATCAAAACCCTTTCGAATGATCATTAAAGTTATTCATGATTTAATTTTTAACATCAAAGATATATAATATGGAGTCACATGTATACCATACTTATCACATAAAGAAACTAGAAGATAAAGAAATAATTTAATCTTTATATTCTAAAATTTGAAACTATTTAGCCTATTTATATAATAGGTGTATGATAACTTTTATAAAATCAAAAACTTTGTATGTTCAATGGATTTGAAACATTCGAAATGAAAAAACAAATTAAATCAAATTAAACATAATTTATATATATATATATATATATATATATATACTAAATTAAATAAAATATTAGATATTAAAATAATATAACAATCTTTCAAATGAATGGTATTTCATCTTTATGATTTTTACTCTTTTCTTTTAATTCAGTAATATGTTTTAAAGATGCCTTCATCGAAATAATAATTGTTATCAATTATAGCTTTATTATTTTGCAAAAATTTACTATTAATGCAACTGCAAAAAATCGAAACGAGAATTTTTCGATGTTCCGATCGACGTCCTGAAAATTTAGTTTAATTAGATTTTGACATTTCAATTCTAGATCAAATTAGTTCTAATATTTTAAATAGTCAATTATGTATTATTTTATTTAGCATATATTTTATCAAACTTACTTATTTCGTTGAATTATTAGATTGAAATTATTAGATGTTTATTTTAACTTCGTAATGCTTATATAATTTATATTTCTCTTGCCTATTTTGAAACAAAATAATTACATTTTAATATTATACATCAAATGAAATTTTATATTATTAAATATAATAATTAAATTAGCTATTGATTAAAAATGATTGACAAATAGACAACAACGACAAATTTTAGTCTGTACTTATAGTGCAACAACACAATTTCTTATAAATTATATAAAGTTTTTAAAATATTAAATAAAATGTTAGTATCTAAATAATGGTAATGCATTTACACATATAAACTATATTGAAATGATAATACAAGTCCTATTTTGGATTTTGAATAATAATTATTATAACACCTCTTCAAACGACTTTTGAGAGTATTTGCTATGAGTCTCATAATTTAAAATTTCATATTTCTTGGGGAAACTTCAGAGTTTTTGAATATATTTACCATTTACAGTTTTTAACTTTTCAAAAAGATTTTTCACTTTTTAATATGCAAATCTTCATAATTTTAATATGTGTGAAATATGAAAAACACATCCACTTTTATGTAAATTTTCAGAAGGTTTTTTCATATAGAATTCGATATAATATTTTAAAATAATAAGCTAAACTCAAATTGGAAAGTTTTACTAATGCTGTTCTTTATGTGATTATTTTAATAAATTCAATCACATAAAAAACTGATTTACTATATCTGTTGATTTTATTTTGTATATTTTTTTGACCTAAATTATGAAGCAACAATAAAACTGTTCATTTGGTATTCATATCTTGGACTATTTTCTGTCGGTGATACTATATTTTGATGATTAAGAATGTAAAAACATTTTAAAATTTATGAATTTAAATTGAATATTCATTTACAATATTAAAATTATTTGTATCAGTTGTTATAAAATTTTGTTAAAAATGCATTTTGATTTTATTCCAAAAATCGTTAAACTTTTATGCTTCTTCTATGATATCTTATAAAATTTTAATTTACTTATGAAACTATCAACCTTAATTTAACGAATCTATTCTAAATCAAAACTTGTCGTTGAAAGAACAATTCAGAAAATTTATTTATTTCGATTGAATACGTAATTTAAGATATTTTTATTGTTAATACGACTGCAGCTCTAATATTGATAATATTTATAATATTATCAGTAATTTGACGATTCGAGTAAAATGTATTATTTTTTATACAACGTTCATTGCATTTAAGTTCAAACAATTCTTATATATCCTGGCATATGGAAAATTATGTAAGGAGATTTAATTAATAGACATTTGCAACACCTTCATTAATGTCCAATACGTCTGTGGAGTAGCTCTTTACGGATCAGAGACACGGACTATAATAAAATCAACAAAAACTGGTGTTGAATTTTGAAATGTGGTGCTGGAAGCGACTGGAGAAGATTTGGAGATAAATTAACAAATGGAGGAGTACTGAGAAGAAAAACTACTGACCACAATCATTAGAAGAAAAAAAAAAAACCCTTTCTGCTAATTATTGAAAACTGAGGTATACCCAAAATGATTGGAAAGTAGAAGGAAGCAGATTGATGACGCTAAAATAAAAATACTGGGAACTGAAAGCCGAAGCACAAGAACGAGAAGCATAATAATTAAATTAATAATAAGTAATAAAATGTCAACGGGAATAAAAACAAGGTTGAGAAGATGAATCATTGATTAATGGTGCTCTCATACTGTTCACGTCAAATTAGACGTGACAACGTTGCACTCATCTTTCTCAGAAAATATTGCATTTTGCATGACGCATAGACAATTCGCATCTCAAGATTCAACTACGAAGAGTTCTGCTAGGTACCTGAAGGCGGCACATAGGTTCAGTCTAAACCCGGTCGCCAAACCATCAGCATTCAAATATTCCAATATTTTTCAATACTCAAACTATATCATACAAACAATGTAAAGTTATATATTACAATAAATTAGTACAATCAATCTTTTTGTTATTAATTAATCTTGACAATTAATCGGTCGACAGAGCCACTAATTCTATCTGGTCCTTGAGCTTACAACTTCAACAAAAAACACACACTACTATGGACTTGCTTTCGGGTGGACTACAATTATACGCTTTATTCGGAACAGCTATCGGGGCATACTGCTAAGCGGTCTATTTTTTGCAACTTTAATTAATCTTTATAATTAAACCACTTTTCATAGGCCTATAATATTTCAAGGTGTTCGGTTTGACTACCAACTCTATAACCATGCGAAGTTTCATCAAAATCCCAGAAGAGTGAACCTGGGGAACCTTGTTGATCTAAGCACAAACATTATAATCTTGGTGAAGCTAGCAGTTTATTTTTGGTCATTTAAAAATTAACGGGCCAACGGTGGCGATATCGGTTAGAGCGTGGGCTAGCACCAACTAGACCCAGGGTTCGCTGGTTCGATTCCCGCTACCGCCAAGCCTGACATCAGGCAACTTTGATGTCAAACTTCCACTTGGGGTTATAGATCACAAAATAATTCCAAGTGAAAATCGTCCTTCGTGGACATAGTTGCATATTATCACATGCACACTATTAGACATAAGAGCTAATATATAAAAACCCCACACATAGGAGAAGATGAACCGATGGGTTGCTTCTCATACCAATACCTTAGGCCATAAGTCAAACACAAAAACAGCTTATAGAACAGGAATAAAAATAAGAGTTCTAATTGCTGTGCAAACAATAAAAAAAGAAGAATTTAAAAATTAACAATATCAAAAATACTGACCTTTAACCCACGAATGTAGTCGGGAAGGAACGCCATTCCCTCGTGTTCATTATATCCAGCAAGCAGAGGAATCCTGGCAACACGTCCTGCTTCGAACAATGCTTGAGGTGTATCCGGCAAGAACATTTCTTCTGCGGGTCCCATGGATCCCATTCCCTCGACACTGAGGCAGAACGGCATTGCGTAGCCGCGTCTTCGTTCCATGGGCGTTATGAGCTCATCCGCCGCCTCGACAAGGTCCCCGGCAGGCGCGTTACGCAGGAAAGCAGCCTGACCAGAGGCCGAACGATCGTCGCAATTCAAAACCTTGGCGAGAGCCGCAGCTCGTTCGCGGGGTCGGTGTTCTATGCCCCAATCGCCGAGTAAGGAACCGCTTTGGAGAATTGCACGATGGAATAAACCTCTTGCAGGCGGCGACATCATTAAACCGTGCACTAAAGCGGCGCCTGTTCCTTCGCCGAATACGGTAACGCAACCGGCGTCACCTCCGAAAGCTGAAGCGTTCTGACGCACCCAACGCAAAGCAGCTAATATATCTTTGCCACCGGCGTTACCTTGTGCGTCCTCATTGTGCAGGCATAAGAAACCTACAAAAGATTAGGGGTTACAGTCGGTCAAGTAAGAGCGTGGTCGACTTTAACGTCAGTTAATGAAAGATTTCGGTCTAATTATTTCGTGAGCCGATAAAATGAAGCTTTGTCCTTGATGCATTATCAACTAAGGTTTAGTTGCCGTTGATCTTTTGAGAAAAAATCGCCGTAAACGCCATGAGTGCTAAGTTACGCGTCGCGCTACGAGCCCTTTTGCATCCACCCAAAAGGTCCCAAATTTTCGCAATCAGCTGCTGCTAAACATATGAGAAAGTTGAAGGCGTTTGTACAGAATTCGATTCACCTATATAAAGTTGCTAAAAATATCGATGATTTATCAGAACGTGGTTCAAATAAAAAAAAAAGAAAAAAGAACAGTAAATGTGTTTTTGCGGAATCCAGCTTTAACACTGCAGCAAGGATGAGCTAAATTAATGACAAAATGTTTATAAATATCAACAAAAATATCTACAAAACTATCTGAACTTTTCTTCGTATTCATGATCTGAAATGGCGCAACACAACAGGGAAGCCTCTGACGACTGAAAAATATGTGCTTCTTTTCCGCTTGGGCACATGAAAATATTGATAGATTTTGAAAATGTCATTTTTACTGATAAAAGTTCTATATGAGCACGTACTGCCCTCATCGAGCCGTTAAATTAAAATACGAGCCGTCAGACTAGAATAATCCGTTTAATTAGTAAAAAGCAGGCGTCGGAGATGCCAGCCAATTGTCGACTCCGGTGGTGACTGGACACATATTGACCAAATTGCATCATTGCTTGTAACGTATACAATGCACATATAAATACTAAAGTATCATAAAAAAAATTATTTTTATAAATTAACACGGCCACGCTCTTACTTGACCGACTGTACAACTAAATATAAAAATCTATAATTTATAGCTGGATCATCACTTAATGTGCTTAGTAAATCAGTTCAACCTGAGGATTATTATTATCTTGAAATTGAGTGAGTTAGTTCTGGTAAACTAGAGTAATTATTTGCTAAAATTTAAGACGAAGTAAAATGTAGATCATAGAAAATTTTCGGGAGAAAAGAAAATACACACAATTAATACCCGAAGCATAACTGGAAGCTAGACAGGCGGTGGCTAGTAAGCCAGCCGTGTAAAAAGTGAAATGTAAGTTAGTGGGTTTTTTGTATTAAAAAATTATCCTGATGTGACAACTGTAGTCACTACTATTATTTAATATATTAGTGATTCAATCAATATTAAACATATTAAACGAAAGTGTTGTGGCAGATGTTCGAAAGAAAATGAACTATAAACAATGGGAAAAGTCTTTGGGCGTACTGCTAATAACAGTTAATCCTCCGTCGGTCGGATATTTTTTCACCTTCGAACGGTCGGAAAGGTCTGGCTGGACCGCCATTTATTGTCATGCATTTATATGGGATAAATGAGTTTTTGGTGTCTTATATATTAACGATTATTAGTAGTAAATATTTATAGTTTTGATTTTTTCTTTTTCTTGCAGTCTTTTGCATATGTTGAGCTTGCTTATAATAAAAATATTACATTTTATATTATATAAAAAAATCAACAAATATAAAAAAATCGTTGCTTTTTTGTTAATTTTTCTGTTTTATATAAATGAAAAACAATATTTTTTCTTTTTCGGCGCCTTTGAAATGAATGTGAAATTCAAATAAAAACGAAATGAGGTGCGTCGCCTTTGAAATGAGCTGTAAAACTCAAAGTGAAAATATAATTTCACTACAGGTTTGCCAAAAAAAATTTTCGAACGCAGTACGGGTAGCAAAATTGTTGATAATGTGTGCATTACTCATCCGATTTTCAGTGTTTGCGATTACCAATAAGTTTGGTAGGTTTTCAAGGGACTCTCGTCATGAAAATACTAAGATTCATGTTACAACACATAGCAAAGATTATATACAACGCAGTTTGAATGGAAAATACCATGAAAAAAGACGAAATACTGGTTTACATATGTCAAAAAGCATATATGTCATACAAAATGTATGGGTGGTCTAGAGAGACAGACCTTTTTGACCATTCGAAGTATAAAAAAGTTAATATCCTTATAATTCTGTACCTTCTGTACATTTTTTCGTCCTGATTTTTTCATTGATCGACAGCTAACGAAATTTTAGGAAAAGTCAAGAAATTTCAAGTCGATAGGATTACTAGAAGTATTTTTTTTTTTAATTAAAGTTGAAAAAAGTCTGGCCAGACCACGCCGACCGACGGAGGGTTAAAATATTGAAGCACTGAAAATTATCGAACGTAGTTCTAATTATAACCTTACCCAATGGTCCCAGGCGATAATTAACGGTCACCACGACCACATCCCGGGCGGCCAAAAAGTCCGGGCCATACAGTGCATCACCGGCTGAGCCTGTACGCAAGCCACCTCCGTGAATCCAAAACATGATGGGCAAAGGGCGCGCAGTGAAATCGCCTTCGGTACGGGGCAAACGCGGGGTGTACACGTTCAGGGTCAAGCAATCTTCCTCGCCAATTATTTGGCCACTATTGGGGCTTTTTTGGGGGCAACAGGGACCCGGAGCTGTCGCGTCGTATATGCCCGACCATGGTTCTCGTGGACGTGGCGCCTGTAATGGAATTGATTATGAGGTCAAATATATCTAAATTTCAACAAGCATTAAGATAATAATAAAAACTAATATATTTCTTAAAATAAATTTAATAGATCCTTTTATTTTGAGTTCCAATTTGACTCTTCAGCGACTCAGTGGCAACAAATCTATAAAAAATGATAAAAGAATAATATATAAATTTAGCATAAAATAAGCAACAAAATTTTTTTAAAACGGTTAAAAGAAGAGTTGAAAAAATAAATATAAGTAAATTTAACATATAATTATTTGGTATGAGAATGAAATGAAAAAATCGTAGAAATTTAATATTAGGAAAAGTTAAAATGAAAGATTTCCTAAAAACATCTATTTTAACATACGTTAGATATATCGTTTACTGTCATCACGAGTAGATTTAAATTTAATATATATATACATATTTATATATATATATAATATATATATATATATATATATACAAGGGTGGTCAGAAAACTTTCCGATTTATATATAATTTTTAACTTAATGTGAACTCCTGCATTTTTTATTTGATTGGATAATATGTACTAGTTAATTATATTTGTAATGTAACTTTATACAGTGTTTGATTAATAGAATACCGATAAAATTTTGCTACACTTATTTCTATGTTCACTCGATCATGCATATCTTAGTATTTAATTTTTTGCTTAATTATATATATATATATATATATAAATATATATATTATTAATTAATTATATATCGATGAATACATTCATGATATTTAAATACATTTGCCAGTTGCGTTAATGGTAATTTAATTCAATGCAATAATTGCAAAAATTAAAAATAACACATTGTTTTTAGAATTAATAAGTTAGATAGTTTAACATAGTTTTCAGAACAAAAGATTAATCAATCTAGTAGTCGTTTAGTTTAATATATTTTTAATATGACTGGTAAATTAATAGATTTCCGTGTTGATGATTAAGTAGTTATCCATTTTATATAACCAATACGCATAGAAGGCAACTAAATATTTGTTGTTGCATTTTATTTTTCATAAATTGTCAGAAATAAATTTTTCTCATAAAATTCGATTATTTGATTGCGGTAATACAATGTATACAAATACTTTATTATATACACATGTTAATTACGCGCTTTTATGATTATTTTATACAAAATTTTAAAATAAATACATTTTATTCTATAATTTTAAAGTAAATTGATATATTTATGACTTGTTTAGATATGCATTAGAAAATTATTTCACTAAATTCATAACATTATAAACTGACTCTAAAAAATATGTAAAAAATATCTGGATCTATTGATGCAAATTTATTGACATATCTTTATATTAACTTACCGTAAAGCAAGTTATTGTAATTGTTCAAAAATCGAAATTGAAATTTTTTATTTCTGCAATAGGTATAATTCATATTCATTTCTTAAGACTAAACTGTGATAATTTTTAATATATTTTATCGTTCAGTAGCTAAAAATCACGTAAAAAATCTGTAGTTTGTTCTTCAAACGATTGATCCAGTTCTTTCGAAATATCTTTATATTATTTCTAAACTAGGTATGATTTATATTCATTTATTAAAAATTAACTAAACTGTGATGATATTTAACATTCTTTTTGTATATATATTATTATCGTTCAGAAAATAATTATCGTGTAATAAATATTTGTATTTTGTTACACAAACTATTGATGCAATTCTTTTGACATATTTTTATATTCTTTCTGCAATAGGTATTATTTATAATTATCTATTAAAACCTAACTGAACTGTGATAATTTTCAATATTTTATCGTACAGCATCTAAAAAATATGTGAAAAATATCTGTATTTTGTTCTTTTAACTATTATTGGTGCAATTCTTTTGACATATCTTTATATTATTTCTGCAATAAATATAATTTATATTTATTTACTAAAAATTAACTAATCTATCATAGTTTTCAACATTTTCTTATACTATGTATTTTATTGTCTACCAGCTAAAATTAATTTAAATCATAATTTTGAAGCAACAATTTTGACAAATTTGAAAAAAAAATTGTATTAAATTATTCGTTTTAAATCTGACTTAAAATAGTATTAATTCGATTAAGTGAATTTGCACATGTATCTATGCATAAATTGTAAACCTCCCTTTGTTTTTTCTGCTGTACACATTTTTGTTGATTAAGGGTATTACTTTATAAAACCTATTTAGCTAAATTATATGTAAACAATCTAATTATAAATTATATTTACCCTATATAGATAAATTTTGTGTATATAGAAAGTCAAAGGCTCTTGGTTAATATATATAATATGAAATACTTCAATAAATAATTTGAGTTATGGTGCAGAAAATAACACGCACACATAAAAGAAAGGGGGTTGTCATTTATATATATATATATATATATATATATATATATATATATATTGATACTTCCAAGCATTTTTCGTGTGTTACTATGACATAGATAGTATATTTGCAAATGAAAAAAAATTCTGTTTAAAAATATTTTTGGTATTATTAAATTATGTGGCTTTCAAATCACGGCGTCTTATAATATTCGTATTTTTCGTCGTTTGAAAATATAATTTCAGGTTGAAAATCTTAGCAAAGGTCATAAATATTATGTGACCTGAAACTTGGGCAGACCCTTAAAGGGTTGATAAAATCATATCAAGAAGCAGCAGTCTTGAAAAATTCAAGGTGCAACCTGAATGAAACAATAATAAAATATTGTTTACCCTAAATCGAAGCTTTCCAACGGGCGGGGCTGCATAGGGAATCCCTTGGAAGGAAAATAGTGGTCGCCCGTTCCCCAAACGCGAAATTCTGCCCAAAATATCACCCTGCTGTATGGTGATTTTTGTCGTGTCTTTGGGGATCACACCATCTTCAAACTGTAAAATAAAAAATATCGTAAAACTTACACTATTATATATAATATAAATATTAGATACGATTACGATCACGAACTAAGGACAAAAAAATATTGTAGCTCTAGGGATCAAATAGATTTATTTAGTATTGAACTCCTACAATAATTGGCGGACAAACTTGTGTGTATTTGCGTTTAATATTATTTTAAAAATAGTAGATTACTGTTTCAAATAATTTAAATGAAATTAACGATATTATTGTAGTCAGATCTTTTTTTTAATCATAATAAAATTAAATTCATTAAGTTCAGACAACTTTTAATACTATTATGATTGTTAGTTGCAGAAACTATTTTTCCAGTCGCAACGATTTTAAACACAAAATTGTGCATTTCAATGAACTATAGAAAATTATGATCCAGATTTTTCTTGATACTTCATAAGTTTTATATACCCATTTATATAAAGTATGAGTACACTGATTTGGAAGTTTAATTTATCAATTACAATATTATCTTTAACCATATATAAGCTCAGCATGTTTCTTTTTGCAAATAACCTTATTCAAAACTTTTTGAACTGATGTATTTTAAATCGATGTACCTAAAAGAAATAGTTTATTGTTCAAAATAATAAATAGTTAATCATCAATTATTGTGATCGTTCTTTAATACCACTTAAAGTAATTAAACTCTTTAAGATAAGACAACTTTTTTTAACACTAATATTTGTTATTTGCAAAAACTTTTTTTCCAGTAACAACGATTTTATACTCAATATTGTGCAGTTCAATAAACTATAAGGAATGTTGAAAATATTTGTTTTTATCATAACTAATCTAGATTTTTACTCATTATTTTATAACTCCTATATTATTACCTTATATGCATAAAGTATGATTATGTTGATTTAAAGATTTTGTAGTAAATCTGAATCCACATAAAACTAAGCATGTTTTTATGTAATTGACGTATTTTAAAATATTTATTCGTAAATAATTTTGGATTTTTTGGCATTACACAATTTTATATGTGTTTCTATATTGTACAAACATTTTTATAATACTATTCTATGAATCATTTTATTTTTTACTAATGTACTAATTTTGTTTTTTGCCAATATAGATTTTATCCTGTATATTCAGTAATTTTTCATTAAATGTACAATTTCGATAGTAGTAAACTTGTTCTTCACTAAATGTTTGTACTATCGATAGTAATTGCTATTGTCAAGTAGAATATGTAATGAAATCCTGTTGTCGAATATATAAGTTAAAATAATTTGTAAAAGCGTTTAAAAAAATAAATTTTGTTTATTACATTTTTAGTTAATTAATTAATTGAATAATTTTACATACCGTTTATTTATAACTTTTGATAAATTGTATAGAAAATTTAAATAGATATGAAAGTGAATACGTTATGTTATATAAAAATTATGTATATTTATATCATTTTATTTATAATTTCATTTAAAACATATTTTAATTTTCTTTATGTTGAAGTTTTGTTACATTTTCTTGAATGCACTCAGAAAGGTTTACAAATTAACAGATATTATTAAATAATCATGTGTAAATTATTTATTATTTAATTTTTATTGGCATCCAATGAATAATCAGCCGAAAACGTAATGTACAATAATTACAGGATTCTAACTTTTTTTTAAATTAGACCTATTGTCGTTTATTAGTCCTTTGAATTAAGTGCAATTCTTCTAGCATTTTTTTCTTTTTACAGTAATATAGACTCCAACAATATAGTATGATGTATTTAGTTGATCCAGTTGACGCTCCTCAATGTAATATAGACAAAAATGCCATGATTAGCCCTGTTATTATTGCATATTTTTGGAACCACTGTTTTTCAACATGGGTTTCTTCATTATTTCATTGTGAAGCCCACTTGTCGGCGACAGCATATTTCATTAGTCAATTATTTTTTGTTTAAAATTAATTGTATAGTCATTTATTGTATTAATTGTATAATAGTTTTAATTTCCGTAGCCCATTATGTTATTGTGTATGCTTTTTGTTGCGACTAATTCTAGAATATAATCTATTCATCAATAATTTGACCATATATACGTTTTCCCAAAGATGTTTTGCATTATTCCAAACCTCATATAGTAAGTTTCGCTTAATATATTTGTAAAATGCATTCGCCAATTTCTAAGCAGATTTTGCTATCTATGAAAATAACCGCTTAATGTATTTGCACCTCAAATTTTTTTTGTTATTTCTTTTTTTGAATAACAATCAGAACATTAGGTATATTCTATGAGCTATTTTGATTGTTAATTATAAATAGTAGTTACCACAGATGGTAAGTACTATTTGATGCAATTTTACTAGATCATGTTATTGGCCATAATTTTTTTAGTCTTCTCGATTCTTGTGTATGGAGAAGCGGAGCATCGAGTGAATTAGGTTGATTTTTTAATTTTTTATGATAACTAGTCGATCTTGTTTTTATGATGTCCTTAATATATAGCATCGTCTAGAAATAAATGTAATTGCATTAAATCTGCTTGACCAACTGTAAGTTTATAATCTATTTTGATATTTTCCTTTGCATAAAATAAGGCGGCACAGCCTGTTATATTATTGATTTTTGGCCCATTTTGGTCTGAATATAACATTTCTGGCCTGTATCTCGTTCGACTTTTTGTTGAATTTTTTTCCATGTTAAGGATATTATCTAAAGTGAAGAATAACACAGATATTTTTTGGTATAGTTAACTTAAATATCCGCTTGTTCTTATTATCTTTAAATAGCTATAAACGAATACTGGTTTTGGATGATCCTAACTTTACAATAAATAATTATACGAATAAATTTAAACAAAAAATATTTTGAACTGTAGGTTTCCAACATATTTACTATACGATTTAAATTTGTATGTGTAGAAGTAAGTCATTATGAATTTTGTTTAGTTTTTACGATGGACTGTAGTAGGTAATCTTCGCCATATTTCAATTATCGCTCTTAAAATATTGTTTTTTATTTGTCTTTTTATACGCTGCGTCTAAGTGTTGTGTTCAATATAATAATTTTTGTCGATTATGACACCAAAAAAAATATTAGTTTTCTGAACATTACTTCTAATAGTTCGTGTTCTTTATTTCGCATAAATCTCCTATTAGGTTTTGTCATCCGATAACTCAAGTCTATAATTAGAAAGCCATTGGTAAAAGTGATCAATATTGCGATATCGATATGGTTTATACCAAAATTATTTTCAACGTTTATTTAATTACTATTTTCCAGTATTTGCCATTTATTTCAATCACAACATTAACGCAATTCTGAATACTATTCGATAGGCTTTGAGATATTTTGTGTTTTGTAAATATTTTATATTATAAATAAATATTTTTTTTAGATTTTTTTTATATGGTGAACCATTTTTTTTATTTCTCAAAATCATTTTTATAATCACAGCTTTAATATAGTGCATTTAAATTTTCTTCAGGTTTTGTTCTAATTGCAACTGCATTCATAACATTAATATCTTACAATGTCAAAAAATGTAATTGCATTTATGACATATACCGTTTGTATGTATAAAATCAAATCAAATATTGGAATAAATATGGAAATATATATATATATATATATATATATATATATATCTGTTTTAATATTAATATACTCTCGATATTTTATATAGGGAAATATATACTTTTTAATCGTCTGAAAAGATAAATATATTTGTTTTGCTTTGTAAATAATTTAACTTTCAAGCGCACAATTTATATAAATAATTTTAAATCTTGGTGAAAGAAAATAATTTCATGTGTATCAGCGCTAATATCGTAAATGATTTTCTTGTAATATAAATTTTTATTGAGTTTTTGAAAAATTAACGAATTTGGCCTAAATAAAATTCCACACTAATATAGTGTATTTTGATATCAATTATTTTTAAAATATTACAACAATGAAAAGGAATATTTGAAGATAAAAGTAGAAAGTGAAAAATTATATATTTAGATTTGTTGTAATTTGTTATTTGAACCTAGAAATATATTTTATCAAAGATTTTTGTTATTGTTTTTAAGTCTATGGCGTCTTAATGCAGAATTTTTCATTGTAAGAATTGACATTGAAAATATAGTAATAATAGTGCTGATCATTTTAAAAAAATACTTTTTTATGAAAAATAGTTTTAATAATAATTTTATTTTTGTGGTACTTTTGGATCGATCTGTTCAACCTATATAATTCGAACGGTTAAAAACTTTAAATGATAATATATATATATATATATATATATATATATATATCATTTATCAAGACATTCCTTAGTTAGCATTCTAAAAGTGTTATGTTTTAAGTTTTTATTTATATTGCTTTTTAATATTTAATAGACACAAATAATTAATTAATTGATCAATGACCACGCTCATCTTCGATATATGTTACAAGAAATCTTGCTAAAATTAGGAGAAAGCGGTTTCATGGCGGTAATTTTTGCATACAAATATTTTTTATAATTTTTGACTTTAATAATTACAAAAAATGTGTATCGAGGAACAAATAATTGTGTTCAAAGTATGCCTTTCATAAAAAATATATGAAGCGCTATATTCATTTTATCGAGATTTACAAACCGTTTAGATATGTTATTTTAGTACATTTGTAATTAACTCTTTTACTAGGAAAGTGTTTACTATATATGAACAAACCAGGCACAAAAATGTATTTCAGCATTATTCAAGCATTATCAATAAAAATGTATTTTCAAAATAACCCTTCTAAAGAATTGAAAATTCCAATCAATATTTTGTAAATTTGAATAAGATCATGCTATAAATATGAAATTCTAGAATATATATAATAAGTTATCCAAGATAAATAAATGAATAATCAACGATACATGTATGATATTATATACAGATAAATTAAGCACTTTACATAGTTTCAAGAAACTAAATGTAGAAGAGACTTGGTACGGTTGTGCTAGGTTACAGTAGTGACAGTTGTTAGAACAGCTAAACTATTCTGATTTTGAGATAG